ATATATACACACACTCATTATATATATATGTGTATATATATATATATATATATATATATATATATATATATATATATATAATTGTGATAATATAATTCAAGTCTTATTAAACAAACTTTCTAACGCATTCAATATCAAGACAAATCTACTATAATAGCTAAAATTAAAGAATTCGGAAAAATTTAACCGTAGCCCTCATCTTTTTATCGGTTAGACGATCTTCAAGCGCGTATTTTTCTTCTCCTATAAGGAATACTGGATTGCTGTGTGTATATACATTCTCTTATACGGCAGCGAATACTGGACAATATCCCCACGGATGAAAAAACAACTAGTGGCAGAAGAAAAATGGTTCGACAGAAGGATATTGAAAATTCCATGGACGGAGCGAGTAAGTAAAAAAAAAGCCTTAAAGAAATTGATAACAAAAAGAACACTTACATTCAGAATCAAGAAGAAATAGCTGAAATGTCTTTGGACCCATAATGAGAAGGGGGGGTGCTTCGAAAAAATAACCTTCATGAGGCATATTGAAGGCAAGAGAGATGGGAGAAGGTAGAGAGTCACTTACTTGATGAGCTTGTGTGAATAGTTGACGGAATAGTGGGACATGAGAAAACTTGGTAAGAGCTTACACGAGAGAGGAAGTTATGGAGAGTCATGATCGTCTATGTTCCGAAGGGACGCGGCATACAGAAGAAGAATATTCTCTTAATAAAACTCTCCAGCTTCTAGAAAAAATGTCAGTTTGTTATGCCCGGGATCTGCTATAGAGGATTTTTCTTAAAAGAATATGGTATGCTAATATTAATTTCCATATTGGCTTATGATGACCATATTCTCATACGATCACAGAAGTTAAGCAACGTCCAGCCTGCTCATTACTTAGATGAGTGACCACTTGGGAATACAAGCTTGGATGTGCGGCTGGTGTAATGAATAACGGCTCGGAATTGGAAATCGAAGAGCCAAGTTCCAATTCCAATCAATTTTGTTATATTTACTTACGTGCAAAATACCCTTGAGAGTAGTATGAATCCACCGCTTCTCCCTCCAGCTATGGGTTAATTAGCAGAATTTGCATCGGAAAATAATTATTATCACCAAAAAAATTCTTAAAATCTAAAAATATTATCTGGCTTTAAATAATCTGTAAAGGGTTGATAAGCCGTAAAAGCAAACAATTTCCTTATCAGTATTAAGTATAGAGTAATAACACCAGGTTCAGTTTTAAGACAAACAAGTATAGACTAATCTATGAATATATAATTATCCAGATAATGGCACCTCGGCGTGGTGTAATGATTAGCAAGGTTGTCTCTCTAAAACAATTACGACTGAGTAGTGATTTCGAATTCTCACTGGGTGCCCCATACTTTCGGCCTTGTGCCACATCTAAGCTACGCTTGGAAAATCACTATAGGCACCTCGAGGAGGTGTAATGGTTAGCAAGCTTGTCTGGCTAGAACAATTACGACTGAGTAGTGAGTTCAATCCTCACTGGGTGCCCTACACTTTCGGCCTTGTGCTATATCTAAGCTACGGTTGGAAAATCTCTATAATTATCCAGACAAACTGCTATAACAGTTTAAAAAAACATGAATGAAGAAGAACTGCCCCCTTTTCATGCCTGGGTGATCTTCAAGGGCCCACACGTTTCTCTATCTTATCTTTTCCACTTTCTGAATAGTGAAAATTTGTTATGCCTACGGAACTGATCTAGGGATAGTTATTTTCCAATTCGTAATTGTTCTAGCGAGACAAGCTTGCTAACCATTACACCACCTCGAGGTGCCAAGAACTGATCTAGGGGTAATATGAAAAGAATAATCCACGTGTATTCCCTCCAGCACTGTCGGTTAATAAAAGATAACAGCGCTCAAAGGAACGACTATACTAATAAAATAACGCGAGTTCAAGTTTCATGCTTAGACGATCATTTTGGGTTTTAAGACATACATTAGCGAATGGACAAAGTCTGACAATATATTTGAATATATTTTATTGTTATACGTTCTTTTTTATAGACACAAATATTTAAGTAAATTGTCTGTTTATAATAAACAGTATTAACAACATTTACTGGCCTGAACGTCCGAGAAATTTTCATAAAAAATATGTATCCTCCGATAGTATTTATTCCGATTTATTCAGTAATCCATCCTGTTTAAACCTGTAAGTTGTGTGGCGAAGGATATCGGGCCGGAATTAGAAATCAGTGATCAGAGTTCGAATTCCAGTCCAGTTCGTTATATTCACTTGAGCGCAGATGCTCTTCGTAAAGATATGAGCCCCAAAGCTTTGGGCTGAATAGCAGGACAAATTAGGTCATATAGCTTTGGTTGACAACCACTCTACCGCAGAAGGAAATGGCAACCTGTTGCGGGAAAACTTCTCTGCCTAGTCAGTCATGAATCGAAAGAGACATGGTCACTAAAGCGTGTATCGCCTTTAACGCTTAACTTACTGGTCCTGTGGGGAATTCTAAAATATACATCTTTATGTGTGTCCATAACACATACAATATACAACGCTAAATGTACAATATAATAAGTATTATATATAAAAAATATACATCTTTATGTGTGTCCATAACACATACAATATACAACACTAAATATTCAATATAATAAATATACATATAAAATATACAACTTTACGTGTATCCATAAAATTATGCATAGTTTCCAGAGAGAAATGATTAGGTCAGATGTTATTTATATTCGAACAATTGTCCTCATCTTTGTTGTTTTTATCACACTGTTTCGGCCGTTGTAAACACCCAGGTGTATATCGATCTGGGTAACTTACAGGAAATTGCGAACTTAACTCTTTATTTAATCTATATATGATTTCTATAAATAAATTCACTTGGATAACGTATCCGCGAAACTGAATAGTGAAAGATAAGTTGGACGCTCAAATTTATTTTTTGCTAATAACGCCCAAACTATTGATATTGACTACTTTAATTACAAAGACTGCTCGCCTAAAAAGCGCTATCTTTCATCTAACTTGTTACATATATATATATATATATATATATATATGTGTGTGTGTGTGTGTGTGTGTGTGTGTGTGTGTTGGCAACACTAATATACTCCATCACGAAAATAATAGACAAAGACATCAAATTCTCGAGGCACTTTCTATCAAAATCTGCCAACCAACACTCAACAAAATTTATTACGAATATAGCAACAATATATCCCATGGCTGAGATACAAAGACAAGCGGAATAGCAACTTGTCAGCTGTGAATACACCTCGTAACACCCTCGAGCGATTAGTCTTGGAGCGAGTAGATTGGAGATCAATGTGTTTTAGGGGACTCTGCGGTTTTCAATCTGCTAGTTTGAATCGTCTTCAAGAAGCGAGAGCAAGATCTAAAAGGTCAGCCAATCTAACAGTCCCCCCCATCCGACAGTACTCACTCTTGCTTCATATGTGGCCTCCTTTATTAATCACTTCTTGGTCATAAGTGACATTTAAGATTATCGCACAAAATTCATAACTGAATCAATTGGTTGTTGTCAGATCCTCATACGTCGAAATCGACGGGAGAGCCCATTATATATATATATATATATATATATATATATATATATATATATATATATATATATATGCATACAGTTATATGGATATGAGTTTGTAATACTGGGATATTCAAGTGAATATTTTAGCTCTATCAGTGATATTGAGCACTTTCCATTAAGTATATATATATATATATATATATATATATATATATATATATATATATATATATATATATATATATGGTTATTGAATGACAAAAATGTAACGTAATCTCCAAAAAAATTTCTGGTGTTCGACGGGTCTCGGCACAACTAATTTGGGTTTTATATATGACTTTTTTTAAAATTTCACACACTTCGAAATTATTGTAAGAACTTATATTCTAAGAATCAGATATATAAAAAAGTATATATAATATTCTCATATATATATATATATATATATATGTATATCGTTTAAAATTTCCGATATTATACAGAAGGGTCCACAGTATCGTAGATACAGGTTAAAAACAAATTTTTACTTCTTTTTTGTAAGTTAAAGAGTGAAATTTCTGTTTTGAAATTTACCTAATAAATGATTTTTATCACAAGTTATCCACTATCGCCTGAAGAAGTACCATCCTAGTGCTGAAACATGAAATATTTTCTGTAGCGATGTAAATTTTTTTATTGTAATTCATTATTATAATAATAATAATAATATATATATATATATATATATATATATATATATATAGAGAGAGAGAGAGAGAAGCAGAGAGAGAGAGAAAGAGAGAGTGAGAGCTCACATATGATAGTCTGGAAGTTTTTTTTTTCTTTGACATGTTTCGACGATTATCCGTTTTTGTCCCCAGAAAGAAAAGGAACTTTTATTCCACCAAAAAAAAAATCTTCATTAGCGAGACAAAACGGGATTTTACATTAAACGCCTGGAAACTTGAATGTTTACTTTAACTGTGTATCTTTAGAGAAATTAGAGTTGAATGAATTGTTTACTTACACGCACACCCAAACACGCCCCCTCTACACACACACACACACATGTAATCGTAAAAAGCATATCTTCAAACTTTTTAGAAAGAAAAAAGAATTTACTTAGAAACATTTTAAATGACAACTCACACAACACATGTTATTCATTGCCTAATGTTGCTGTATTTCCTGCCTACCCAATGAGAAACCAATTGTAAGTGAAGTGGCTTTCCGGTTACTACAACAGCTATATATTTATATTATATGCCGTAACTATGAATACTAATGGGTATGTCCCAATCCTTATAAATACGTTGGTCACTACAGTAAGTAGGGTTAATATGCTGTCTAAGTAGTCCACCACGAGCAGTAGTTTACCTACTTCACGCCGCTGGCGAGTATTGTATTTTGTTTATGTTATAAAGATTACCATTTCATTTCCAACCTCCGGTTTGCTTATTCCTCATTCAATAACCCTTTCTAGGTTACAAGACTATCTATCTATCTATCTATCTATCTATCTATCTGTTATATACCGTATCTATAAACACTAACGGGTATGTCCCAATCCTCATAAATACGTTGGTCACTATTGTAAGTGGTGGGTAATATGGTGTCTAAGTAGTCCACCACTAGAAGTGGTTTACCTGCTTCACGCCGCTGGCGAGTATTGTATTTTGTTGATATTATAAAGATTACCATTTCTAACCTCCATTATGTTTATTCATCATTTAGTAACCCTTTCTAGGTTATAATACTATCTATTTATCTATCTATCTGTTATATACCGTGCCTTTGAATACTAATGGGCATGTCCCAGTCCTCATAAATATGTTGGGCACTACTCTAAGTGGTGCGTAATATGCTGCCTAAGTAGTTCACGAATATCCGTGGTTTACCTACTTCACGCCGCTGGCGAGTATTGTATTTTGTTGATGTTATAAAAATTACCATTTTATTTCCAACCTCCTTTTTGGTTATTCCTCATTCAGTAACCTTTTCTAGGTTACAACAATTTATTATGTTGAGTCATAAGTAACGTCCATTTTTATTCCTTAATTTTATTCTTCAAAAAACAAACTACAACTACATTTTATTCATTTAATATGTTCGCCATTGTTTGCAATGAATTCTTTCCACTTGTTACCTATTCGAAATCTTCTGGGATTGGTTGATTTTGTTTAGCGACATATCAAACTGATTATTTAATACCAACATCTAAATATATTTATTTTTTTATGCCTTCAATTATAGATACTTTTATACTTCCAGAGTAAACGTATGTTCTTTTTTTAAAAAGAGATCGATAGCTTAAACATGATAAAATGCATTGCAGGTCATTTTTAAAATAATGCCTAACTAGTAAGTTTACAACAAAAATGTATTTTTATACGTTTTAAGTGTTGTATCGATGGGCATTTTACTATAAATATGTAAACATCAACTGTAAGAAGACAATGCATGGTTGTTAGCAAAAGGTTTGGTTTGGTTTTACAGCATATCAGCCTCATTGGGTTATTTAATACCGACGATTTTTTTCCTGGTAAGATTTTGTTTTGTCAAATATCTATTTCTGGCAATATTTTTTTCCTCAAAAATGTATAGCTGGTAATATTATTTTAAAACATGTATTGCTGATAATATTTTTTTTTTCCAAAACGTATTGCTGGTAATAATTGTTTTCAAAAATATATTGCTGGTAATTTTTTTTTTAAAAACTTATTGCTGGTAATATGTTTTTCAGAAATATATTGCTGGTAATAGTTTTTCTTTTTGTATTTTTTTTTTTCAAAAATTCATTTCTGGTAACAATTCTTTTATAAAGTATCTCTGGTATTAAAACCCATTTTTACGCTTTTTATCTCAGTTTCAGGGTTAACTATTTGCCCATAGCTGGGACCCTAACAGGTGCTAGCACCCAGGGTCAGGTTGGACCTGGGAACACTAGCAATTAAGAGGTGGTTCCACGCTCCTCAAAACCTCCTGATCAGAGGCCTTGCTGTTGGACGTAGTTCATCGTCTTACCCAGGACGCGGATGTAGTTTATCGTCTTACCCAGGACGCGGATGTAGTTTATCATCTTACCCAGGACGCGGATGTAGTTTATCGTCTTACTTAGGACGTGAAAGTAGTTTATCTTCATATTCAGGACGCGGATGTAGTTTATCGTCTTACCCATGACGTTGTTAGCAAAAGGATGAGTCCAAATAGATACGAAAATCAAACAATTTAAATATCTGGGAAGTGTTTTAACAGAGGACGGAAAGTGTGACGCTGAAATCCTAAAGCTAATCTTTTAGCGTTCGATCCTCGCTGTTGATACGTGTTGGATTTTCAAAGTTTATCAGTGAACAATGCTTTAATACGTAACCATTTCCACAGCAAGTTCGTTTGAGACCGTGAGTTTCATGGAAGAAACTTTCTTTCCATGATTTTTCCCCCCTTCCTTCAAATCATATACAATCGTGCATGGCCGATTTTACTAGTGATAGAAAACGCGTTGTATCTGTTGAGGAAGATGACGCGTGTTCACTCGGAGGGAGAAAACTGGAGATTTAATACTGTTGAAGTCTTTGAACGGTTTTCCACACATGGAACTCAAGCTGGTTCTTTTCTCTCGTCTCTATTTTTGGCCCAGGGAAGCCAAAACGGCACGGAAGGGAATGAAACGAAAAAGTAACTTCGTGTATTGCAATAAAACCAACGGGCTTGAAAACCAAAAGAAAAGAAAATAACATTTCCCACTTCAAAGATCTTTATTCCATTGCCACTTTTTATTTGTTTCGAGGGTTCATTAGATTCTGTTCATGTTACGGAATAAATTAGATATTAGTTAAAGATGCCATTATCAAAATCTTGCAACGTACATGGACTATGTATAGATGCATGTTTTTGTGCAGGTTTCTCAGACTTTTTAAGCAACGGCACACCCTTGGGAGCAAGTGAAAATATCACGGCACACTTATCAAGATTATTAAAGAGTATACGTTGTTATGAAATAAAACCACAGAAAAAAGGTTTATATTTGTTTATTCAAATAAAGGAAAACCATTTAAAATTAAATTAAAAATTAAAAATTCTTTAAAACAAAAAGAATATTAAAACAAATCATTTAAAATAACAAAATTTTAAAGAATTATTGAAAAAAAAAAGTTTAATACTTATTCATTTATTCAAATACTAACGCTGTACGATTGCTACTTCCACTCACACACAAACACACACACACACACACACATATATATATATATATATATATATATATATATATATATATATATATATATGAAAATTTCTCATAGTTAACCTGTAGAAAAGACAATATTTATAAATATAAATGACAATAGGAAAACTATTGACATTTATATATATATATATATATATATATATATATATATATATACATATAAATAATATAATAGGAAAACTGTTGTTATTGCTGACGCGTTTTGTCGGCAATAACTACAGTTTTCTCATTTATATTTATATTATAAATATTATCTTTTGACAAATACACATATATATATATATATATATATATATATATATATATATATATATATATATATATATATTATAGCAATAACAACAGTTTTCTTATTGCCATTTATATATATATATATATTTATATATATATATATAAATGGCAATTGGAAAACTGTTGTTATTATATATAAAATATATATATATATATATATGTGTGTGTGTGTGTGTATTTTCAGAGTTAACCTGTAGAAAAGACAATATTCATAAATATAATACTCGGTTTAAAAAATAAGGCATAAGCAATAAATATATTAAAATGATACTTGAACTTAGTCAGTTTTATATAGAAATTATTAGAAGTATTTGAAAATAACCATAATTAAGTAATTCATCGAGTCTAGAACAAACCGCAACAGAATGCCGTTTTGTCCTATATTTGGGTCTCATCGGCATTGTGCATCCACTACCGAGAATTGAAACCGAGATAGTTACGATATGAGGCAAACGCCATACCAACTGTACCGACGAACAAAGCGCCACCCGATCACATATTCCGTGGTGGAACTAATCCGAGCTTCTCTTTAGCCATAGGACTGTGCCTCCATGGGCCACGACTACTATCAGCAAGCCGCTCAGTCCAGAGCATTAGAAGCCGGTTCAAGCAAGGATATACAGATAGAAATAATTAGGAAGATTTGAAATAGTCGTAATTACGTAATTCATCGAGTCTAGAAGAAACCTCAACAGAATCCACTGGACGGAAGTTGCGTCCTATATTTGAGAATCATCAGCAGTGCTCATCCACTAGCGAGAATTGAAACCCGAACAGTTACGATAGGAGGCAAATGTATATATAATAAAATAGGCATTCGAAAGTACTAGCTGAATTAAAAATACACCATATCCATTTTATACATAAGGATCTCATCATTCAGTGGATTATTAGTAGTATAATACTTATAATTATGCCTACTAGCGAAGGGATTTCGCCAATAATTGCATTAATATTGCTAATTGATTTAAGGTATGATTAACTCTTTGTAATATATATATATATATATATATATATATATATATATATATATATATATATATATATATATATATATATATATATATATATGTGTGTGTGTGTGTATGTATGTATGTATGTATGTAAAGTGAACACAGATATCAACACGAAGTAACGACTATCTGTTTCATGCTTGAACGCAATTTTTAGGTCCTGAAAATAACGTGAAGACTGCCATTAAGACATGACCTGGAGATTCCGTTCCAGTATGAAAGAGACTGTCGCCGCTTTGTATTGATCTCAATGTCCACTTTTATATTTACATATATACACTATGGTTGATCTTGAGTACTTTTTACTCATAAATAAAACATAGATTAAAACTATATTTTTTATCATTACATAAACACGTATAGTTGGCAGCCATTGATCTTGCGAGATAATTGTAGCACCCCATTTGGTCAAACAATCCGTCCTTTCGTGAGCAGCATCTGGAGTGGCTTCACAGACCAATCCTTGCATGACATTTCTTGTTCTGTTTCCTTCGTTGTATTCTGATTTCTATCAGTTGGTTTCGCCTTTTACCGGACTTGGTGACCCCTCCTTAACAGCATGGCGCCAACCGCTGCGATCGTCTGTTAGCTATTCCTTACCCATATATATATATATGATTGTATATTTGGGCACCAATTCATTTTTTATACAAGTTTCATTGAAAACAACTGACAAGGCACTGCAATTAGGTTTTCAGAATAGAAATCAGTTGTACGAATTCAAGAAAAAATTATAAAGAGCAGTGTCTTTTCAGTTATCTCCAATTAAACGTTATATATAAACAAAAAGGAATAATACGAAAAAAGCTTATAAAAGGAATAAAAAGAAACAATCTTATCGAGAAGTGTATTATATATATATATATATATATATATATATATATATATATATAAAATAAAAAAAATGGAAAAAGTCCGACAATTATCTTAAGGCATTTTTATGTTTATACGTTCTTTTTATAGATACAAATATTTAAATAAATGCTCTGTTTATAATAAACAG